CTGTCTTCCTGGCCAAGAGTGCCCAAACTTTTCACCAAAATGGCTCAGTTTGTCTTTAATTAAAACTTAAAGCATGAGCTTCTCAGCTCTGGCAAGGGCTGTGCAATGAGAAGCTGCCTGTCACTGCAATCTGCCTCACAGCAGGCCCCTTGGTGGCTGCCATCGAATTCTGGGCCGAGAGAAGGTTTGCAAGCTCACAGAGCTACAAAGAAAGGCAGTTAATGGCCAGAGGTACCTACAGTTCCTCTCAGTTCATTAACTAAAGCTAACTTGGGGATCTTTACTGGAGGAGACTAATTTGGCAGCTGTCAGCATAGAAGGTAGGGATACCATGCTGACTACAGGCCACGTGGACCCAGTGCCCCATACCCCCATCAGCTGTTGTTTGTCTCTCCCACATCCCAAAGCTCAGCTACAGCTCAGGAATAAAGTCTCTCCCTGTCCTTGCCCATTACTCACCTTTTATTCCAAAGTAGAACTGCATTTTGATCTAAAACTCTCATAAAATCATTAACAACATTAAAAAGCTACCTAGCCTATCACCTAACAATTATTATTCCCGCACTGTACCAAAAGTTGTTGGAGATATAAAAGAAAGGAAAGCTACTACCCACAAAGTTGTGTGTGTGTATTTACACCCACAGAGATCTTTCAACCTAGTTGTTGAGATAAGCCTATAATGAATACAATATTCTGTACAAAGTATGAAATATATGTATGAATATATACAAAATTATATGGGGCAGGTCATAAAAAATTAGACATTGTAAAATGTACAGAGTAGACTAAGAATAAGAGCAGTTCAAGAAAAGAAAGATGCTTGCAGGGTCTTATTACTATTTTGTCCTACTCCAGATTATTTAACAAAAGGCCCCTTGATTCAAATGTACAAAAGCGTATACAAAAAGTAGCAATTTATATTTTAAATGTGTCCTAAATTTCTTCACTATTTATTTAATCCACATCAGTGATCCCAACTTGTCAGCAGAAGAGCCTAAGAGATTCTTAGATACTATGCAGTTCCCTATGCCTAACTAACATTGCTTACAGGCTGAATAAATGTCCTGTTATTTTTCAAGCTGATATAATTAATGGATTGCTAATCCATTAACAAGAATTATTGAATCTATAGTAGTCCCTTGTCTTTGTATAAATTTTTTTGGAGTCAATGGAATTAATTTTATAACTTCTATGTATAAAATGTTAAATTTAATCCAAATTCTGGCTATAGGGTATTCTTTTACCATTTCTCAAAATTTTACCTCCTCAAGCATAAAATTATATTTAGTATATTTCCAACTTGTAAGTTTCAGGTAGCTAGTGCCTTGCTAAGAAGTATATTCTTTTTTTATTTATTTGGTTTATTAGGTGACTACATGGAGCAATTTTAAGAGGAAAAAATTAACTGTACTCTTTCATGAAAACTTTTGTTCTCAGTGGTGAGGTTTCCTCATTGCTCAGAACAGCATCATCAGATATTACCTCCTAGTTGCTTTTAAGGTTTTTAAACTTTTCTTCTTATTAGAAGCCATTAAAAAGTGCCTAATAATAACAGTTACTATATGTAGATCTTATACCACATACTATATTGTCTAACATATTGTATGTCAATCTTTTATTATCCCTGGGATATAATCACTACTTATCAACACACTATGGATGAGAAAACTGAGTCTCAGAGCTAATTAACTAATACTATCTGGCAAGGCAGAATCTGAACACAGATGTCTGACTCCAGAAACCATGTTTTTGTCACTGTATTGAAAGGAAAATTTGAGACTTGCTTGACCTTGCAGTTTATTTTTATGATTTCTTTTATTTTAGCATATTATGGGGGTACAAGTGTTAAGGTTAAATATTTTGCCCATGCCCCCCTCTCCCCTCGCGTAAGAGCTTCAAGAGTGTCCATTGTATATCTTACTTGTTGTGGTTGTATATATCCATCCCCTCCTCCCCCTCCGACCTTGCAGTTTAAATCTAGTATATCTCTGCTGTTCATATAATGATGTAAAAGGTGTATATTTATGCAAAAGAGGAGAAAATATATTATTGTATTAGGGGCCTGTATCAGGTATGATCTTTCCTCACATTTTTCTAACCCATACATTGTTTCTTTCTTTTTTTTTTTTTTTTTTTTGAGACAGAGTCTCACTTTGTTGTCCAGGCTAGAGTGAGTGCCGTGGCGTCAGCCTAGCTAACAGCAACCTCAAACTCCTGGGCTCCAGTGATCCTTCTGCCTCAGCCTCCCGAGTAGCTGGGACTACAGGCATGTGCCACTATGCCCGGCTAATTTTTTTTTTATATATATATATATCAGTTGGCCAATTAATTTCTTTCTGTTTATAGTAGAGACGGGGTCTCGCTCTTGCTCAGGCTGGTTTTGAACTCCTGACCTTGAGCAATCCGCCCGCCTCGGCCTCCCAAGAGCTAGGATTACAGGCGTGAGCCACAGCGCCCGGCCCCATTCATTCTTTTATTTATTTTATGTTCATTTATAGAGCACCTGTATGTGCCAGGCACTGGGTCTATAATGATAAGCAACAAGGAATCCCTGCCCTCACCCTCACATGGCTTGGGTGTGAGTGAAAAGATGATTCTAATGCAATGAGATATGCTTAGGGCCCTACAGAAACAATAGGAAGAAGAACCTAACTAACCTAGCCTGGGAAAGTGGTGAGAGAGTCAAGTCATCAAGAAATGAGTAGACCCACATAATTTTGTCTTGTAGAATTGTAGTGGCAGTGGTTAAGGAAGTGGAAGTACTTAATTTAGGCTTTTCACTAAAAAACAAAAAACTAAAAAAAACATTGCACATAATCTAAACTTTTTGCTCTTAACACCATCAAAGTAGTCTTTAAGCCTCCTAGTGCATCTTTTGGGGAGCTCTGATACTTTGCATATATTTGAAGAGGTCTCTAGCCTGCAGCGTATGCTGTGATCACTGCCACCGTTATGCCCTAGTCCACACGTTCTTCCCTCCACACCCACAGCCAATGCCACTGTCCAGGATGTGACATCTTCTGCCTGAGCCATGACAATAGCCTCTGAACTCAGTGTCCTATCCTCTGTCTTGTTCCTTTCCAGTGTACTTTCCACCCAGCTAGACTCATCTTTCTAAACACATGTTTATGTCACTCCTCTGTTTAATGGGATTCTTGTTATGCAAAATAAGAGTCCAAACTCCTTCAGAGCCTGTCTTCGAGGCCCTCAACATGCCAGTTCCAGCTTGACGTCCTAATCTTTCCTTCCACATTCCCACACTCTGGCCCTTCCTCTCTGCCTGACCAACACTACCTTCCCTTCATGCCTCTTCTCTGTCTCTCTTAGAGCCAAGATGGTCACATCTTTCTTTATGTCACCTTGGGGCCTGGTACCACCTTTATCATAGGACTCCATAAATGCCTTTGCTACCAGACTGTGAATTCTTCCATGGCAAAGAATAAATTTTGTCCACATTGAACACAGTTGTACCCCAAGTGCCTAGCATAGCACCAGGCTGATAGAATATTTTTCATTTATTCGTAAAACAGCCAATATTTCCTGAGCAATTGCTATGAGAGTTTCTATTATGATGAGTGCTTTATATGCATTATTTCTGTTTTTCCTCACAACCTACCCCACAGTTAGGTACTGCTAATATTCCCAATTTTATAGATTAGGAGATTGAGGCGTAGGTTCGATAAACGGCTTGCCCAAGGTTCAACTGGAGGAAAGCAGCAGATCTGAACTGGTCTCCTAACCAATACACTATATTGTTGAATAAATAGATGAAAGAAATGGAAAAGGCAGCCTGTTCAAATTTCTGGCTATGCTAGAAATTGTGATAAATCTACTCTCTTTAGTGTTTTGTTAGGTGTCCTCTTCATAAACTTCCAAAATAATTTAGGAAGGGCTTTAAAATACGTTTGTCTTCTCTCTGGGAAAGAAGAAATCATTCTGGAATTTACTGTTCTAAGTAGGAATAAATGACTTGCACCTTAAAAATAAAAAAAAAAGAGAGAAAATACCAGCATGTTTACCAGACTGTAGTCTGAGTAAACATTGGAGAGCTCATTATAGACAAGTAATGGGCAAGACATTTTAAAAAGAGAAATAATGAGCAGAATACAATTTGGAGAATGGCGGCTAGCTAGACAGAAAACATTTAATAATCATAGTTGGTTTTTTTTTTTTAATGCGTTCTTAGATATCAGAAGGTCTGACTGTGAGGTAGAAACCAGGTACCAGGAGCCAGAGTCCTGTAGTCTTCTTGCTATGTGACTTTGGTCAAGATTTTCACTCTCTCCAGGCCTCTGCTTCCTAAGATGCACAATGCAAATTCAGTGAAATTCAACAAGTCTTTATTGAGTGGCAGTCAGGCCCAGAGACTGGCTCATATAGTCTCCAAATCTGCTGCTGTAACTCACAACCAATGACTCCAGGCTTTCTGGATGACCCAAGAGCAAAGAGCTTTGCCAAAGTCACATCACTAAATTCATAGCAGGAAACAGATCATTATTGCAAACTGCATTGTATACCACTAATGTATCGTTAGCCAAAAACCACACACACATTGAAGAATGTAAAATATAAAAATTTATCATCTATCATCCTCAGCAATATCCAGAATAATTCAGCATAAATTAAGATGTGGAATATTTGGCAAAATGTTTAAAAGAACCTCAGCAAATGAGAAAATGGTCCTATCACTTTAATATTACCTATAAAAACAAATGAAGGACAGTTTCTTTCCTCTTTAGTTCTTTTTTCTTTTTTTCTCAAGAGAAAGAGCTGGAATAACTGAAGTTGAATTCCAGTTCTGCTGGTATAGTCACATGGCCTTGTCCCCTGTGAGTGTCATTTTCCTCATGTCTAGAATGAGATGAGATGTTTGACTATCAAATAAGACAATGTATGTGAAAGTCCTCTGTAAACAACTGAAGCACTACAAAAATGTTCATTATTATTAAATGAAGGTGCTTTTCTAGGAGAAATTTTTGTGCTTTTCTATCTTCTTCCAGGACAGAAAAACTGCATTAAATAGGAGAAGAATTTCATCTTAACAAAAGAATCAACTTTCTCATAATAAGGATTCTTAGATGCTAGTGGGTGAGTAATAAAGGTATTTTAAAGCAGTATTTCAGCTTTTAAGCTGAAGACAGCTTTTAAGCTGAATTTTAAGAAGATAAACATATATAGTATAGTTTGTCCCTTGAAACAGGAAGAAGGAATAGATGATCTCTGATAAGGAAGATCCAATAGTGACAATGTGTGTGTATGAAATTCAAAGGCTGTGGTTCATCAGTTTCTTTTGTTTGAAATGAAAAAGAGAAAGAAATCTTGGTAATACTTTTTTCAAATACCAACTTCCTAACTGCCAGGAGTCCTTGTATAAGAGGTGTTGGTCATATGCATTTTGGGGGGAATATTTTTCATGTAGTCAGGAAAATAGTTTGATCTTTCCTGCACAACTGGGTTCTCTGGGTGAAGGCAAAGACCCTCAAAGCTGTTCTGTTCTGTAATGAGAAAAGAAAACACCCGAGATGGCTGCATGTATTTCAGTGCTCTGCTCCTGACAGCACACTTAGGAGTTCAGACGGTGTGTTTTAACTATATCGCCTTTATTTTCTCCAAAGAGCAATTTGGGGAATGGCGAGTTGGCATTTGCAAGAGGTTAAAAGAAAAAGAAAATTGTTAGCCTGCTGTGAATTTGTTCGTGTGCCTGTTTTATGTTTCCAAATAACAGCCTGTGGCTTTATTCAATATAATTGTGCACTGTATTTATAAGAGGCTGAAAGAGAAAAGTTTCTTAATTTAAAAAGTATGTGAGGGACCCAGGATATGGGCAGCAATTTTTAGTGTAAACTCGGCTCCTTCAGCATTTTAGGTTGTTCCATTATATATAAATTGTTTTACCAACCCATATACACTATGTATATTGTGTGGATGTTAATGACATTTAAAATAAAATGAGAGAGCAGGAGACTTCTATTTGGTCAACTTTTTATATTGCGAGAGCACTCTTGGACCACCCAGGGTTATGGATTGTCATTTGCCAGAGAATGATTAGGGTCTGTTTATTATCAGGAGGGATCATTTATCTTGAGTGCTCAGTAGCACCAAGTATAGCATTGGCATTGAGAAGACAGTCAATAAATTTCTTTTGAATTGAAATGAACTGAATAAAATTCATATGACTATGGCGTTGGTCACTTCCATGGAAAGTGTCCTTTAAACAAAGGTTGGCTGACATTTCATAAGGAAGGACCTTGAACAGGCTTCCTGGTTAATAGCACACACTTTGCTAGGTGCAATCTGTCCATTCATGGACTAACTGTTTGGCCTTAGTAAGTTTTCTCACTCTCAGTTTCCTCATTGGTGAAATGGGAATTGTTATGATAGCTTACCTCATTGAGTTTTTGTGAGGGTTAATTGAGGTCATCCATGCAAAGCTCTCAGAAGAGTGCATACCAAGTGCACAATAAATATTAGCTATAAGTATTGCTCCTGGATAAAGCCTTAGCTAACTAATTTCAAATGTGAATGAATATAAACATGTATACATTCATTCTTGCTGCACATGTTTATTGAGAGCTTATTCTGTGGCAAGGATCTGTTCACAACAGATACAGAGATAAACAAGACAGACAAGTGATAAATACTATATACCATGAAGAAAACAAAGCGCAGTGAGGTAGAGAATGCCTGGACTGGGAGTTCGGAGTGTGGAATCTGGGGTAGAGATTCAGGGATGACATTTGAGCAGAGAAGAAGAGAGGCTACTGGCTACATGGAGAGCCAGGCCATGCGTCTTTCCTGGATATGAAACAACAAGCAAAAAAGGGATTGAATTTTCTAAGGAATAAAAAAGAATAGTGTGGTAGTTTCAGGCTTTTCAACAGGAGCACCATTGACATTAGGGGCTAGATAATTAATTCTTTGGTTTGTCGTGGGGGGAGGTCGAGTGCTGTCCTGCACTTGTAGAATGTTCAACAGCATCCCTGTCCTCTACCCACCAGATGCCAGGCACACCCCTCCTCAACTGTGACAACAAAATACGTCTCCAGATAGTGCCAAATATCTCCTACAAAGCAAAATTGTCCCCTGCTGGGAACCGCTGGACCAGTGAGTATGCAAGGAGGAGAATAGTTTTCTATGGAATAAAAATATTGGGAAGATCTTTGTGGTTTTTCCTAAATAATGTTCCTAAGGTTTTATTGGATAATCATTTGACCTCACCATCCACCTCCTGACAAAAATATAACATCTGGATTTGTGGGAATAAAATAAAGGTCCAACTTCCAAGGCTTCCAACCTCTAGTGTCAATTAGGATTCCTTTTCTAAGCCTCAGGCTTATATCTTTATTTCTCTACTTGGAATATGAAGCAATATTATGTAGCTTGTGCTTTGCCAGGTGAAATGTGTAACCATGGACTATAATCCTAACAGGATAATAATTATTTGGGATGAAAGTCAAACAGTGTTTCTTTAAACTCATAAAAGTTAACACACGATGTATTTCATTAAGTAAGCCTTATATTTATAGCACCTGGCAATTGAATTGAAAATGACTGTCTCTTTTGTGTCTCCAATGATGAAATGTTTGCATGCAGCTTGGATTTGGAATATTTATCTACAATGTGTAGATTTAAATTAGGTTACAAGGATGAGGGAGTGCTAGTAATAACATATATCCATAGTAATCTTCCTGAAATACTTCCCAATCTGTATAAAATATTAGCAAATAATTTATTCTCTAGAGTAAAGTGACTTACAATTCCTGAGGCCACAGATTGGGAAGTGTTTTTCCCTGCTGCAACATGAATAATTTCATAAGACATCTCTGATGCTGCCATTTTAGTGAAGATAACCAGAAAGAGGGCTTGCATTTCAATGGGCATAACTTTATCAAAATCAACTTTATAAAGTGATCTCAATGGTTTGGGATCTCCTTTTATCTTTAAACCATCCATCATTTCTTCCTTGGAATTGATAATACATTTGCTAGAAATGGCTTTATTGGAGTATTTATGTGCTGGTCAGAAAATGCCCCAAGAATATTTTCTATATACGGGAGGAAGTAGAAGATGATTTTAGAAGCTAGTTTTTAGGAAGACATTCAGGAAATTTGATCAGTTTTCTGGTTTGTTTCCTGAATTGTGAAAATTCTGAAATTTCGTTACTTATCTGTGAAGATTTCTTAGATTAGAACTAGTGGCTGCCTGTAATTTCACTGTGCAATGATAGATGCTAGAATTTGCAGGCATCCACAATACAATAGAACTAAGTCAAGACTCTGGAGAGCTCTGCTTTAAGTCATAGTTAGAAACCCGTCCAGTTCACTGTCAAGATTCCTCCCTCTAGGACTTGCTAAGGTCTCAGATGCTGTGACTTATACTGGGTCACTTGGAAGTTCTTCAACAGATAATTTCTGCTTGGCAAACATATCAGGTATTTGAATGTTTTACCCTTCATCATTCAACCTATATGCTTCAGAATGATAACTAAAAATAATTCTTTACTAACAATATCTCTTAGCTTTGGGAATCGATTTCTTCAGAAGCAGAAATTTCAAGAGAGGAAGGATAATTGAGCCCAAGAATAGACTACCATGGGAATCTCTCCATTCCTGGAGAACATAAAGAAAAGAACATGCAACCATCTGCTGGATGGACTAGACACAGCCCTCTCTGGGCTGGGTGGTCTCTTGGGCTTCCTTTTAGCTCTAGGCATCTATGATTTTCTGTGGAGGCAAAAGGAATGCCATGGACCTTTTTTTAGTACTGTGAATCTGTGCCTTTCTTTTAAAAATAGTTATTGGTTTTTATTAAATTGCAAAGTTAATACATGTTTGTTTGCTAAATGAGTACAAAATAAAATGTGAAAATCGGCCCCCTCCAGCCCAATTTCATTCCTCAAAGTAAATGTTAACAGTATTGAGGGTAACATTCTAGTCTTAGTTATATATGTGTATGAATGCATTTTACAAATAAATATTTTTAGAGAAACAATAATAAAATAATGTATGAGTAGACATTTCTTTAAATATACACAAGTAAATATGTATAGTTTCTTTTTTATTATAAAAATAGGAGTTCTTCAAGAAGAACATGCCTTAACATATATTTCTTATCCTTCCCCCATTCCCTCAACCTCCATATTCTGTGCCACTAAAAACCAAAGAACCTTTCTAAAAAAAGATGATCCTGATTGGAGGGTGGGGATAGAGAAGACACAGAAAAGTCAGAGCAAGCATATACCATGTGTATGTAGTATGTTGTGTGTGTGTGTGTGTAAAATTTATGTATACTAATTTATGTAGATATATTCATAGAAGTGGGATCTCTGTGTTTAAGAATATGCCTTTATTTATAATAGATTTTTTCTCAAAAAAAAAAAAAAAACTCAAGAAACTTCTGTAAGATGTTTTGAATTATTCCTACAAACATTACATAGCCTCTTGCCATGCTCTGTGGATGTTTACTTGTCTGGAAAAGGGGCCAGGGATGCATGTGGCTCTCCAGTCAACCTGAAATGGGTGTCTCAATTCAGGGGACAGCAAGCCTAATAGTAAGATGGAAAGGAGCAGATAGAAGCTAAGAATTCATAGCTCAGTTGCAGCAAAGTACAAAAGCAGGAAACCAGGCGGAGCTAAACCAAGAACAGATTCTAGATTTCACTTGCTGCTTACTTACCTCTTCTGTCTCATCTTTCATTGTCTATCCTTTGGTTCAAACATCTTTCTCTCCACCCCCACCAGGAACTCTTTAATGATTAACCTGTCTTTTCCCCTAACCCATATGTCTGATTCTTGTGCTCATACCTCACACTGTGATTTCATCACATGATATCATTGTTAGAATTAGTTTAAAAAAAAAAATTCTCAGCACTAAACTAAAATTCATCGAAGCATTTTTCATTTCTGTATGTCCAGCACTAAGCACAGTCTGGTATATAGTAGGTGCTTAATATATGTCAAGATATGAATGGAAGAGCCATAGACCTAAACATTAACATCATCAGAGCATCATATGAGTATCCTTACCTGTACCCCCCAAACCTTAAATGACATCAATGTATTCCACTTATTTTGATTATTTTCTAATATCACAAAAATACACCCCACAAGCTTCTATTAAATTTGGCTAAACGATTTAAAAGAATAGAAATTGACAGAGACCATCATCTGAAACAACGTGACCATCATAGATCCGCACACTTCTTAAAATGTCTATCAAGTTATTTTTTTCTTTTTCTTTCACTATAACTGTTTCTGTCACAGCAAATCTGACCTTCTCCATGATTCAAGTGGGTGGATAACTTTCTTCCCAGTAGGTTCACTGTTTTGAAAGACAACTGTGTTTACACGTTAAGATGCAAGTGGTTTTCTCTAGAGTCAGACAATGTGTCACTGGCTCCTGCACAAGGAACAGTGCCATCACTATGTTGTGTAGTGATAGGATAGAGGCCAATATTGACCCTCTTCCACGACAGCCTGAACTCCTGCCCAGGAGTTCCTTAAAAACCAACTGAACAACAATAACTAGTGCCCTAACATTTGCATTTTATGTTTCATATTTTTTGTGCTCAAAAATTTAAATAATAATTTTCAGAGTCTCAACGGTATCCATAGCAATATACACTTATTTTCATTATTATTAAAATTACTCTGCTCTCTTTCTCTCTCCCCAACTTCATTTCACCTATGAACTGAAAACTCCTTTCTATTTTCTCAAGTTGAATGCCTTCTAAATTTTACAGAACAATTGGCAGAATATGAAGACAAAAACACAGGATAAAGAAATCTTTATCAATGATACAAACCAACTATGTATGGAAAAAATATATATGTGTGTATATATATATATGAAATATATATATATATATATTTCCCCAACTTTGGAAATCCTACTTCAGCACACAAGAATTATCCTGAGGCATTCTCAGCTATGCCATCAATTAGGCCCTGAAAATATGTCAAATGTTCTTGTAACCTCTCATCTTGGTGTGCAGTCTGCTGTACCCATCCTTTGTAGTATACCGCAGCAATGACTAGCTCGATGTATCAGGGTTTCAAGAGAGTCGGATTGACACCTCTTCGAAGCCTGCTCCTCCCCATAAGCACACATCTCTTTCTTGATATAGAGCAGAATCAAGCCACGTCATCGTGCATGGTCCTTGAGAATGGAATAGTCATTGTTCGCCCTCATGTTCTGTATGTGTCTTTGCCTTACTATGTGCTGCAGAACCGAAAACCTCATGCTTAATACAACTTGGAGAAAAAGAGTCTATGAAGTTCATCTTCCTTTATATCAAACATTCATCTAGATACACTGGCTATAAAGCCATTTCTCACTGCACTCTCATTTTTAAATAGTTGGAAAATGGGAACATCAACTCTAAAGAAGGCAGAATTTTTATGAGTGCTGATAGTGTGTATTTGTTTTTTCTTCCAGTTTCAACATTTGATCTCAACTGCTGATTGATTTTCAGTGGTGAGCTCATTAAAATCGAGATCCCAATTGTTATTTCATGTTGCTGGTAGAGCAAGGGCTAAGGTAAATGATATCTTGTTCCTTCGTACCTGACAGCCCAGCAAGCAGAGAAGGCCAGGACTTTCCTCGCTATCATTTCTCTCCCTGGATTGCCTTGATCTTTGAGGTGTCTGTCCACTTTTCTTACGATCAAAATAAAGGTGGAAGGCCGGGCGCTGTGGCTCACACCTGTAATCCTAGCTCTTGGGAGGCCGAGGCGGGCAGATTGCTCAAAGTCAGGAGTTCAAAACCAGCCTGAGCAAGAGCGAGACCCCGTCTCTACTATAAATAGAAATAAATTAATTGGCCAACTGATATATATATAAAAAAATTAGCCGGGCATGGTGGCGCATGCCTGTAGTCCCAGCTACCCGGGAGGCTGAGGCAGAAGGATCGCTTGAGCCCAGGAGTTTGAGGTTGCTGTGAGCTAGGCTGACGCCACGGCACTCACTCTAGCCTGGGCAACAAAGCGAGACTCTGTCTCAAAAAAAAAATAAATAAATAAATAAATAAAAAATAAAGGTGAAAACAGTTGGTTTAAAAATTAAGCTCCATATGTGTATCTGTCAGGATCCATTCAGGAGACAGAA